ATTCGGCTATCGTTTAATTATTTTTTATTGCGCATTGGAAGGGAACTTAAACGTGCCGTTATGACAATTTCTTCTCAACGTCTTGCTATCGCGTATAACTATTTGATATTAATTTATTAAATTACTAATTGATACTAAATTAAATTAAATTTCTGTCACAGAGATCTAATAGAGAAGACGCAGTCACGTGGCTTTAGCGGATGCGATGCCTGGGGGATGCCGTGCCGGAGGATCCGGTTCGGACCTGGCAGAGTTGGCGTAAAGGTGAGTTTATTCTAAATTATTCTTTAAATTCGTCTTAAAATCTATCTTATTATTTAAATTCGTAATTAAAAATCCAATAAAACTGGAAATTCTTTTGTTTGAAATCAAGTTCCTTAATGCCACTATTGTCGTGTGTAATACTAAAGTAAATGTGCTTTCTGTTGCAGAGACGAAGCAGACGACCAGCCAACTCTTAGGAGCTGCTGCGCCGGAGGATCCGGCTCGGGCCGAGCGGGGTTTGCTCGAAGGTGAGCATCACTAATTAGTATTCATAATTAATAATTCGACAAGATTGATAATTTTGTTACTAAAAATTGAGATAATTTGAATTGAGTCAAAGATCGCGTTAAATTGTAATTATACGCGGGGAGAATTTTTCTAGGTAAATTGCCACTTGAAAAATGTTGATTTGTTCTGATTAAGAGATTTATTTGCAACGTCGAAAAAAAAGAAAGTGGAATATTTTAGTATAAATGCGTTCCGAAAAATTATCCCAGCGTGGGAAATATCGCGTTTATTTTTTTTTAATCTTTCAAAATTCTTCATTCAAATCAACATCAATGCACGAATCTAATCGACGAAACGGCATTTTTCTGTTTCAGAAACGAAAGCAGAATGTGGCTGCCCTGATCGGCGGTTCGGTGAGTCAAAACAAGAAACATATTGATAATAGAAAGACAAAAAGTCTTTCGATGTAGTGCATGCTTATAAATCAATGCGATTTACTTTGCTGTAGTTGTAGTATGCGTATGTGCCGTCCAATAAAAAGCACCCTGCTCGAAACATTTGGAAGATCGCTTTTTCAAAGAACAATTTAGTAATGCATATACCACATAATAAATTTGGCAAATAAATTTTCAAGTAATTTGCTCCCAATGAACATATATTTATTAATTGATTAACTTAGATAATTGATTGGTCGACGATTTTCGTCGGAGGAAATTTTGATTAACCAAACCTCAATACTATCTTAAGATGCTTAAAGTATTAAATATACGCTCTGAACATTTAAAATTTTGTAAAATTATTCAGTTTTATTGAATGCGATCTTCCAGGTGTCTTGAGCAGTGCGCCAATGCGCACTCAAAGAGATTGCGCCACATAGATTGTGCTACAGAAAATGCGCAATCATATCACCCGCGTCATAGATCTTCCGCCAGTCGTTAATTTTCTCAATTTTCTCTCTCGCGTGAGCTTGAATCGCGATTGAATTTCATAGAGTTTGTGCTTCGTTATTAAGTAAAATTTGATATCGTGCGGCATCTGTGCAAAGCGATCTAACGTGATCATGTAAACTGCTTGCAAAATTAATTTCAATCGTCGGAAAATTTACAAGTTTCAATTTTTTACTTAGAATTTTCTAACGCAGATCACAATAGAGACAATGTTAGCGAGCGTTGATCCTTCACGAAAAATGCGATGTACATAAGTCAGACATGCGAGCAGTTGTTTGTTTACTTAAGCTGGCCACACACACTTTTCGTAACAGTAACTGTAAGACGTAACGTAAGAATTGACGATCGAGTATTTATAAACATGGCGACTTTACGTTTCGACGATTCTCAACATGGTCAATTCTTACATTACATCTTACGATTACTGTTACGAAAAGTGTGTGTGGCCAGCTTTTATGCGGCGTGCAAGTTCCATCAAACAAAGACAGACCTCTCACGCGGTAACATTTTTTTCACGTGAATTTTGAATAGAATCTTTATCTCTATCGTCACAATTTTCATAATTTTTTATTTTTCGTTCACGCTCGCATTCGCGATTATTAATTTGATAGATTTGCGAATTTCACTGAATTGTATTTGCGGAAGAGTCGCGAGCGAACTTCGCAGAAATATTGCGGAGTTGTTATCCGCAAAAGTATTGCGGAACTGTTATCCGCAAAAATATTGCGGAATTGTCTTCGCAAAGGTAATGCGGAGCTGTTATCCGCAAAAATATTGCAGAGTTGTATTACAGTCTACTACGCTGCATCATCGAAACGTTACATTAGGGATATTCCGTATCGGACGTGAGAATTTCGCACAGATTACTTCACCCACGCGTCGAAAGATTTCGCGAGATCGGCCTTCGATTCGTGCCGCGTGTTCCCCTCGCGCGCGCGCGCTCGCGGATTTCGTTTTCTTCGTAAGCCATTTGCGTCGCGCGTATATCAAAGCGATGCACTACAACTCGATTGGACTGTTGCTGAATTCGTCGCACATACTCGTCGTTTATCCGAAAGGCCGACATTTCCTCGAAGACGCAGTTCACGATATTTCATACGCAATTCGCAACTCGGAGTGTATCCCTCAAAAGACACGGGATTTTTCGTGAAACCTCCGTTAGATTACCGCGGTCGGGAGTGAATTACAGGCGACGTGGGATGCGAGGATACATTGCAGTATCAAATGCAGCGACAGGATGGCTGGTGGACCCTGGACACCGTGGGACGACGCGCAATGGTGAGCGTTCAATTTAGACGCTCATATAATAGACACAAAGCGTCACTTTACGTAGATTGCATGCACGTAGACGTAAATCGCATTGGGTCCGACGGGAAGTAAAGTAAGAATTGGAATTTGCAATTTGCCGGAGTTACGTAAGAATGATCCAACCAAAGAATTTAGCTCTGAAATTTTCGCGATAGTTCAACGAGTCAAGCATTTACATTTCTTTAAGAGTACTGGCTAGCTCAATCCTTAGAAAAATGTGCAAAAAGACATGACTGGTCAAAAATAAAAAAATTTCTTAATTCATTTCGAGCATCTATAAGACTCGATTTTTTTGTTTGGTTTAAAAAGATGTGAATGGATTATCCATTGATAAATGGATACTCCATTCACATCTTACAGCTTATAATTTTTTGAATTGGATCATTCTTGCATAACAATGGCCAATTGAAATTTCGACTCGCTTTCTTCTCGTCGGATTATTTCTTGATGATACATTAAACTGATATATTTTAACATGTCATATTTATATATTTTGTATATGTTATATATGCTTTTTTATGCTTTATATATGTTTTATATATACCCTATGTATGCTCTATATATACTATTTGATTAATAAACTTTATGTTTAACTTGTTATGTCGTATTATATACGACATAATATCTTTTTGGAGATATTTTCTTATGCATACGCGTTTGTTGTTGACAAGACGAGAAATTAAATTTCGACAAATTAAAGACAACAAATTAAATTATTAAGCTGAGACTTGAACCGAAATATTTCGATTTCCCGCTAAATTATTAAGCCGAGATTCAAACCGATGTGTTTTAAGGTTCCGCTAAATTATTAAGCCGAGATTCAAACCGATGTGTTTTGAGGTTCCGTTAAATTACTAAGCCGAGATTTAACCGAAGTGTTTTGTATTTCAGCTAAATTATTAAGCCGGGATTCGGACCGATTTGTTTTGAGTCCCCGCTAATTTATTAAACTGAGTTAGTTAAGCCTGGGATAATTTTTTAAAGTTGCTTAAAGAAATTTTCGCGTTTGTAAAGGTGTATTCTCAAAAATGACATAAAAATTTCGCTTTGCAACGTCTCTTGGATGTGCCTTAATATCACTCTATTCCCTTAGTAACACGCCCAGAATCTTGAACATAATTTTCCAATAGCTCAAAGTCGCGTTCATAACGTTAGATCCAACTTAACATCGTAGAAATGTCGGATTAACCGAAAGTCGGTCATGTTGCTGCAGGTTAAGTCATGTAGTGTTAGCATATAGAGCAGCTTCTAGGATAGTTTTTTAGGGTTTTTGAAAGTAATATTCGCGTTTGAGAAGGGTGTATTTTCGAAAATGACGTCAGGCGCGTATATTTCGTTTTGCATCGTTTCCTGAGTGACAAGGTGTGTTTGTATCGCTCTACTCTTTTAGCAGCACGTCCAGAATGTTGAAAATAATTTCTCAATATCCCAAGGTTGCGCCCAAAATGTTACATTTATCGTAGCAGTATATTCGGATTCTCGCGCATGTGCAGTGGCACTTATTCTGCGCATGGTCTGAAAGTCGGTCATGTTAGTGTAAGGTTAGGTTAGGTTGTTCTACAATTTTTATTTTTTGCTATTTTTCGATAAAGTTGATAGAATTCGAGTAAAAAATTATTGAAACCAATAATTTTGTAGATATTTCCATAAATATCTTAGAAAATAGAGGTCGTATGAAAAAATTTTTCAAACAAAAGTTGTTTGTTTCTTTATTCTTTACAGAATAAAATTCCGTAATAAAAATGCATATTTCTGTTTAAAAAAACAATGTTGACCTTGTCCTACCTTTGGCGACGCATATGTAAGGTTAAGCTCATAAAACCAGTAAATAGATCTTTTTAAACTATATAACTTTTATCTGAAACATTTTGTTCTAAAATGCTCTGTTTCCAAGACGAAAGGGGTGTACGGGTAGTCTCAGACACTTTGTATAATTCTTGACTGTGCGTGTGTGTGTACTCATGTACAAAATAGACCAAGCCCAGACAACATAATGTCTAAAATCGGGACATGAGACGTCTTTAAGATGTCTTTCAGACGATTTATGTATAAATGTCTTTAAGGTGTTTTAAAGATTATCTTTAAGACGTTTTATGTCCCGATTTTAGACATTATGTTGTCTGGGAAGTTTTTTCCATTCTTGCGAATAAGAAATTCCAATATGAAATTGTTGAACACAATGGAAGATTTTGATAAATCCACCAAAAATATATACGTAAAATTAACATAAATTATAGAATATGAAAATGTAAATAATTTAACATATATATATTTTAATCGCGATTATTTAATTAACAATATACTCTTTACAGTAATGAGAGTATACATTTTATTTTACATTTATTTTAATCTAGTAATCTCTAGCTTGGGAGAGTTTAATGAATTGGTACAACCGGTGGATCAGGAACAGGATCGAATTCTCCAACACTTTCACTATATTGAAGATCCTTGCGGTAAGGTCTCAACTCCCAGTGCATTCGTGATTCCATGGTAGTTAATGTAATACCAAGATCTTCTAAAGTAGGTAATTCCTTTAATACATGGTCGGATATAGATTCCTGTAAAGCAAAAAATCAAGTTTAGTAATATTATATGAAATTGTATTTAAGCTTTTAGATTTTATTACTATAAATTAATTTTGGTTAATTTTGGTTAATAAAAAACGTGTAAGGATATTGTAGTAACGAATAATTTTTGTGTGATGATAATAATGATTATATTCAGCAAACACAATGGGTTAAATGATCTATTTTTGAGAGATGGATGTTATCAGTAGATCTAAAAGTATACATCAATCATAGATAATGTTTTACTTAATGCACAATTCTTGCGTTTCTTAAACGCAACAAATATCGACGATGTATTATACGCACTGTTTTCTACCTTAAATATACATGGGAAATTAGCCGCCTTCCATCGTTGAGTAAATTCTAATGTATCTTGATAATAATATATTTAAATTTCTCCCCTATCTAAATTAAATATATACTCTATTCTTTTTATTGCATATGTAACATTGTGAAAAATACTGCTTCAGGTAATAGATCTATTATGTAACTTTTAACAACAATGTCGATATTGTTGCGTTGTCATTGCGCAAATATTTGACGTTTGCAAAGCACATGTAACTTATTTTTTTATACCTATTTTTACTTATGATTTTGCCACGTTAATTTTATAATTTATTGATAATTTATTGGTGATTTTTGCAATGTGATATTTTGTCACTTCTGGCATCGTAAATCAAGATGGTCGCGATAAGTAGAGATACAGAAGCCTCAAGACTGAGGAAATATCACAGTGTGCGACACATTATCGACATTGTTATCTTTCCTAAAAATCTTTTCTAAAAATGATTCGCTAACATTCTTGCGCGCTTCTTATTAACCAAAATTAACCAAAATAAAATCGTAGTGATAAAGTAATATTATCTGTTTTATCATCTAATATAGTTTGTGAAATTATTTGAAATATTAGTGATTTTTTTTAAAGTTACATCTACTTTCTTTTTCCTCCGTTCACTCATTGACCTACGTGACTAATAATCGCTGCATTCAGCTTCAAAACTGCCAACTTTATAAGACCTGTGAAAACCTTCTTAATTTCTAAAAAGTTTTTATTGAAATTGCTCTTCTATACATGTTATATTTCTATTCATGTTATGTTACAGTTATTTCTATATATATATATATATGTATGTGTGTGTGTGTACACATACACATACATGCGTACACACACTATCACATATATATTATTATAACTATAATGATAGGACACTAGTTTTCATAAAAACTTATCAATAATTAGAGAGCGCTTTGCAAGTTTTATGATGTGGATAATCCTCAGATTAAGAACTCCGCGATAGTCAATCGCGTGGCTCAACAGATAAATAGAAAAAGCAAGGACAAGAAAGTAGATGTAGCCTATGAAAATCACCTTGAAAATTCAAATAATTTCGAGCACGGGTTCTTTAAAATTGATATCTATTTTATACTTATGATAATATAATCGTATTATGTAGTATTAAAACAACATACCCTCTCTAAATGTTCCCATTGCATATATCCCAATGGATATGCGAGACTCACAAGTTCATTTAAAGAAACTTTGAGCTTGAAAAGCGGTGTATATTTCAAGTCCATCCTCTTATAACCATATCCGATTGGATCGCGTACACGTATCTTATAGAACCAATCTAACAAATCGGCTAACTTATAACGTTTCGGCCTGTACAAAGATATCAATATGAGAACATAAAAGCAACATGAGAAACGATCTGATCGTGTAAGTTTATTATATGTCTACATACCCAACAAACTGATAAATTTTACCAGCGGTGCTTGGATCTTTTGCAATAGCCGTAATACCTCCAGCAACATCATATACACCTACTGGTTGCTTTTCCGTCTTTTCACCCTTTTCCCACATCGGTATTGTTCTATGTGAGAATAAAAATTTTCATTTTTAACTCATGATTTTTATATTTAAAGTAATTGAGTAAAAGTTATTTTAACATTAACAATTTTATAATAAGCCTCTTTTTGTTTTTATATCTATTCTATATTGTCACTTCACTTTCTAAAATCCCATTTCTTTCTAAAATCCCATTATGTAAAATTTTCTGCTCTTTGAACAATTTTTTTTTCTTAATGATTATGAATACATTATAAGACATGTAGTTGCTAACACTTTTGACAATTATTGATTGAAATTTGCAATTATTGCATTTTTTAATTAAAATTAAAAAGTGACCCATATTTCCACTTTTTTCCCTACAAACTATATTTTATATATATATATATATAATATATAATATAATATATGGCAGTTTATTTGGAAGAATTGCCTATAAAATAGCCAAATAATTGATACATGAAATGGATTCCATATATTACAGTATGTTAAGTATTTGGAAAGTATCTCTAAATAATTTATTCACATACAGTTTACCTGAAGTGACGTCTCAATATACCACAATAGATTTTTAAAAATCGGTCCTCTTGACCCCATATGTCTGATGGCCGTATAATCGTAGCCTCAGGAAACTCTTCTCGCACTGCTTGCTCTCCCTCCCATTTTGAACGAAGAAATTGGGAACCATCTTTCAATACATGTGACTTGGCATGAAAAAGATTGTTAATACAGTAAAATTATATATACTTTAATTAGCATGAGACATTATAAGATATAGTTATAATTCAATTTACCTCAATTTCATCACCTACGTTTAAAGCTGATAGATGGATAAAATGTTCAATATTAGCTTCCTTACACAATCTAGCAATTCTTCTAGCTCCTTCAACGTTTACATCATGGAAAGTAAAATTTCTGGTTTCCCAATCTCGTCCAATCAAATTGATAACAACATTAGAATATTTAATGCACTTCCTTATTGAGTTTTCGTCACGGATGTGGAAAGGATGAAATAAAATTTGTCCAAGATCCCCACAAAGTTTCATAGGCAAACAGTTGTACATGTCACCTCTATATGGTATTATTACCTATAAACATTAAGAATTATAACAATCAATAAAAAAATTTATTAGACTATTTATTTAGCTATTACTATACACAGTCATGATGCAATGATATTGGATGAATTAATTCAATAGTCAGCTCATTAGTTTAAGCATACATATACAATTGTTTCTTCCTTATTATTTGTAAAGTGCAATTTTCATATATACCTGAGTACCAATCTTCCCAAGGCGATTGCACACATACCGTCCAACAAATCCTGTTGCACCAAATAATGTACACACTATCCCATTGAAAGAACTACGGCCACCGGTACCTCTCTTTAAGGAAGCAGTGGTAGGGTTCTTTATAATTCGTGGTTCCGACGCGTAACAGCGAGTAGAATTTGTTTGCACCGCAACAGCAGCGATACATATTGTCTGTTTCTCTGAAATGCACAACAAATGCAAACTGTTATTGTTATATAATTACAAATTGATATGTCATAGAAAAATGTGGATGACATAATAGGTAGTTTTATAATGCATCAGTATTGTGAGTTTTTAAAGAACACACTGAATTATTGTTGTAAAAGGTAAAAATGAATGAATATAATAATCTTACTTGCTGCTCGTATACTATACTTCGGAATCAAGGCGGCCATCTTCGTCGGCAATCCATATGAACTAAAAATTAGGGTTAGGTGACAGTTTCCCGAAAAGTGGAGGGGATAATGTTGGTACCACAGATGTCTATACTAAACTAGTGGTCTGTTCTTTTCAGCTGCACTGCTGAACTGATACAATAAGTTAAAGTGAGACAAGTATATGTGTTTTCTCACTCTAATTTATTGCACCAGTTCAACAATGCAGCTGAAAAGAACAGACCATAGATTAAGTGCTTTCCAATTTCTTAAAGCCCATTCTACAATTGCGTAAGCGTAGTCGTGAACGTAAAGGGACGTCTACATTGGAAGTAAGCAGTAAGAAGTAGAAAATAAGAATAAGAAATTGACCAATTATAGTTGATTATTCTTCTCACATTCGACTGTGGTTGGTCAATTTTTTACTCTTACTTCCTACTTCTTACTACTTACTTGCAATATAGATGTCCCTTAAGCGTCTTCTACAAGGGCAGTAGGAGTAGTAGTAAGAAATAAGCAGTAAGCAAATTGACCAATTCCATTCTCACGTTTCAAAAATAATCGATTGTGATTGGTCTATTTACTTACTGCTTATTTCTTACTACTACTCCTACTGCCATTGTAGAAGACGCTTTAAAGCCCATTCTACAATTGCGTGAACGTGGTTGTAAGTGGTTGTATGTGATTACGACACCAATCAGAATAAAGCAATCAGTAAATAAAACATTCGGATTAGTTGACTCTTACGATCACGACTACGCTTACGCAATTGTAGAATGGGCTTAAGAGTCAACCAATCCGAATGTTTTATTCACTGATTACTCTGATCGGTTGTCGTAATCACTTACAACCACGTTCACGTAATTGTAGGATAGGCTTAACACATCTTGATACACACATACACAAAACCAGTTTATTGTAGGCCTGTTCTTTATAGCTGCACTGCTGAACTAGTGCAATAAGTTAGAGTGAGAAAACTTATTTTGTTTCACTTCAATATATTGCACCAGTTCAGCAGTGCAGCTACAAAGAACAGGTCTTGTGATCACATATTATCTAAAATATCTTGTAAGATAATATGCAACCAATAAACTGGTTTTGTGTAACAGTGTACGCAATTGGAAAGCACCCAATGAGATTGACAATGGGCAGTAAGACGTAAGTAGTAAACAAATTGACTAATTATAGTCGATTATTTCTGTAATAATCGACTATGCTTGGCCAACTAGACATAATACACAATGCATAAGGAAACGAACCAACCAGAGCCTTCATTTCTTTGGTCACGATGAAAATAAAGGATTCTGGTCAATTTCTTACCGCTACGGCATACGATTCTCCATTGTAGATAGCCTTTTACCCATTTAATTCGGCTACATCTGAGGTACAACCGCAGATGGCACTGCAAATCAATGTTCAATTTAACAAGAGCGAATTTGGATTCTGTTTTTAGGTGAATAGCAATTACAGTTTCATTTCATTCTTTCTTTAAATTCCGACTTAACCACCGTTACGCTAAGACGTTTTCGAACACGACCGCGAATTTTTTTGAAACGTTCCTCGACGTTTTCTAAGGATTATTTCTCAAATTTTAGTTTATAAATATGCAGTCAGAGCAAGTGTCGAAAGACCGCCCAAACTAATTATGAACAAGAACAAATTTCGTTTCTTTTCTTTTCAACGTTTCTTTTTCTTTATTTGTTTTATTCTAAAGATAAAAAGAGTAACCTAGTTCAACTAAGAAGAAAATTATTAAGAAAAAGAAATTTTAAGAGAGGTTAGAAAACTATTTATATTTGAGAATGGAGTACCTGAGAGATATGTTTACATAATTTATTTTTGTGTACATTATATGCGTATATAATATATATATATATATATATATATATATATATATATATATATATATATATTTTTTATCTCTTAAATATTTGTGGGTCTTTATTTGTTTTATGTATCTTAATTATTCCATTAATTATCTTAAATATTTCAGTATAAATAAATTGTAACAATGGCTGTACATATTGTATATAATTACATGAAAACACAAAACAGACCTTACAGCTCAAATGATATAGTTACAAATTTGCATAATGAATATAGCAAAGCTATAGTTCAAAACGCTATAGACCAACTGGTAGCTGATGGAAAACTATTTGAGAAAGTATGATAAAAATTCTATAGTATATATAAAGATATAATACGTTTATAATATTAATTTGTTCTTATTTTGATTTATACATTAGGTTTACGGCAAACAGAAAATATATTGCATCATCCAAGATTCAAAACACGACATAGATGAATTAATAAGGATTGAAAAAGAATTGCAAACTCATGCCAATGAAATTAAGAGCAAATATAAAGAAGTCATGAAAGAAATTAAGGATAATGAAGTTCTATTGTCCTCTTTAAAGTCTAGTCCAACACAGAAAGATTTAGAAACAGAAAAGATCACTTTGCAACAAAACATAAGACAAATTGTACACAAGCTAGATTCATTAATGGAAACAACTGACTCTCAAGACTTACATGAATCTAAAAGAAAGGTAAAAACGCAGATGGATGAAAACTCTCGTCAATATCTAAAAAGGAAAAGATTGTGTACTGAGATAATAGACTGCATTTTGGAAAATTATCCTGGTGGCAAGGATGAGTTGTACGAAGAAATAGGTATAAATACAAACGAAGGAATGATATAGTAAATCAATTATATGGATTAAGTTTTCTGTTTATAATTGTCTTGAAATAGTTTTTTCTTAACATTTTCAGACTTATGTTACATATTTAGTTGTTTGTGATTATCTGAAACAGTTTCTTTTTAATATTTTAAGAGTCGTATATTGTATATTTATATTTATGCGATTGCCTTAAAATGCAGTTTCTTACAATTTTCAAACTTACATGTCATATATATTTATGTATTTAAAATTTATGGAAAAATCTGATTCTCAAATATGCAGCTTTTTGATATAAAAATTATATTAAAATATGTTTAATTATTATTTTAAGTTACTGAATAATGTATATTCTGGTATCATTTTGAAGTTAATAAGGAAGTAAAGCAACATTTATTGATTAGTTTACAGTCCTTTTTTTATTTTTTATAAATATGTAATGTAGGATACTAATAGGTAGATCAATATATATAAGTTAGAACTATTATATTCTCTTTACTATTTTCATATATTATTGAAAGAAAAAGAATATAATATTCCTCTAATTTCATATATATGATAAGATTTACAATATTTTAGTATTATTGTGTAAATTATATATATACATAACATAATTTTTTATTCACATGCATAAGATATTATATACAAAAAAAATAATATACAATATCAAATAGGTGGGAAAATAGCATATTTTTAACAAAATAATATGTATTAGAATTGTAATATGTATTAGAATTATGTTTTTTTGTTTGTATATTTACATGTGTAATCCCAATTACAATGTAAAATTTAGTGGTAAACATCAGCCTATGAGCTTAGGAGCCTTTTATTACGTTTTATGATCTCCCTATTCTTAATCTTGTTCCTAACATCTTTAAGTTCTGTAATATACAGATCATGAGATTAGTTTATATATTAAAGATTAAAGACTTAACATTTTACAAAGAAATTACACGCATAATCTTGTTTGAGCCAACAGTATATAAATAATTTAAGTAATTTCTGTGTACGCGATATTATAAAGTTACCAATTCTTTTTTTCAAATACAATTTTATTCAATTCAATACTTACTTTGGCCTAATCTTTGTTTTATCCAAGGAATTAGTTCGATCTTTTGTTCCTTGAAATGCGGAAGATGTTTACGTTGCTTTTCTGTCAATTTCTTTCCTTGGTCTTTAGTCAGTGCTCCTTCCAAAACGCATTTACCGTTTAAACAAATCTAAAAAAATATTGAACAATAAATAATGGTTTAACTCACACATACAAATAAATATACGGGATAAGACAATCACTATTAACTATTGAATAGCTTAGAGTTAAAAAAATTTATCTAATAGAAATTATAGAAAAATGATTGTTTTATGGCGATAACGCTTTTTTTAGATAAAATAATTTCGAAGATTGAAAGGTCACTTTTGTTTTTCTTTTTTTTAGTAGAAATATATAATTTTTTAAACATAAATTGATTCCTCTAATTATTATATGTATAAAAATAGTGGGATAAAATCATCGAAAAATGAATACTTTTTAAGATATTTTATATTTTATCCTGATACTTTTTATTTTGTACGTTTCAGTAAAAAATATAAAATATAAACTTCTATTTTTGATTATCTTATCTCAATACTTTTTAATGTAGAATAATGGGAGGAATCGTTCGTTGATATTACTGCCGTGCTAAGGAAAAAAGTGGATAACTACATTTGCCTTCAAACTGAGAAAATCGACGAAAACTGTTTGCTTAGAGAATCGTAATGGAAAAGTAAATATCTATGAATACAAAAGCATGTATTGGGTAAATCGGGTACGCTTTTTTTATTCTGCAATAAAAAATAAATTTTTTAAATATTTACTATTTGAAAATGCACTTAAAGTTCTTACTTTTTGAAAATACAAGAGAAAAAAGTCGCAAAAATTTTTAACTAAAGTTAACCTGTTTTAATTTTAATAAATAATAATAATTTTTAGTTTTTATCAATATAGTTAGACGTAGTTCTTTGTTACGAATCTATTAGTATAAAAAACTCATTTTTTTTTAAATGTGACTTAACTACTTTTTTCCTTGGCACGGCAGATTAATCTTTCTCGCTTTTGATATCACGGCTCAACATGTTTCGCGGCGAATACCTAGGAATCTTAAGGGGATTCTAAAATGAACACTGGGACAGGTATTTATAATCGAATCTCATATCTAAGATCGTCTTAAGATCATCTTCAAATGATGTACGGATCATTTTATTGGCTATATCTAAAGGGTACCAATCTGAAATATGTATAACTGTATAAACTGGAACAAGCGCAAGCCTGCTTATGCAGGATGAGAGAGAGAGTATGTTGAATATCTCGAATAGTTCTTTGTATTTGTCTATCTTTTGTTGATTTTACTGTACTTTATCCTCTCCACTCTCGATCACATTGTAGCCCAGATAAAGAAAATGAAAAAATCAAGAACCTCTCTTTCATCTCGTTTACTTACCGATATTGGATATTGTATAACACACATAAATATTGTAGGCAGTGCATGTTCCAGTAAGGAAAATCCACACTTTAGCAAAAAAGCAAAAACAGAATAGCAGAAACCAATAAGAACTCGCGCTGATGATCAAGTGGCAGTCAACAGTTTTTGTTTTTCTATTAGGGCGAATTCTGATTGGCTTCTGTCTTTCTACTTTTTCTACTTTTCTGCCAAGATGCGAATTCTCTCTTAGCATATATTCCAGCGATTTTACTTTAGTACCCGGAAAAAGAGAATCGATTTATATTTAGAACGTTATGTTTAGAACATTATATAAAGAAACGAATATAAACCTTTAAATCTTCGAAGTTTCCTTCGAGCTTCTATGTAGAAAAAAGATTTTACTGTTCCTGACCAAAATTACTGTTTCTATATCAAGTTCTATATCAATTTCTATTGATAAAATATTCTTCTACTTTCATTACGAAGATGTTCAAGGTGGTAGCAATTATTGTTTTATTTTGTAGAAGTGAAAGCTCACTAAATCATTTCCGCAAGGTGAGCCTTCCGCTGCTGCAGCCACTGCTCTACAAAAATGAAATCCAGGATACTCACATTCCAGACGAGTGCAGACTGTAGTATCATTCTGTGCAAAAAATTAATGTTATAAGCTTCCTTATATATATATATATATACATATATATACATATATACATATATATATATATATATATATATATA